CCATGGAACCTTGGGCTGACCAGGGTACTGCCTGTTTCACCAGGTAACAGGGGCAGGCCAGCATAATGCCTGAACCTTTCAATACTTACAAATCAAGAAAGAGTTAATACAAAAATGATCATGTCTATCCATTACATAAAATGCCAAAATATTGGTTTTGGTAGAAATGTATAAATAAGCCAAAGATTTTTGGGCTGTAATAACTCAGACTGGCTGTTGTGAAGATTTTGTTGCAAAGACATAGTCACATGCTCAAAATAAAAACATGCACTGAAGACTTGTGTATAACAGACAAAAGCTAGAGACAGCTCCAATGCTGGTCAGTGGGGCTGGGATCACCCTTGGTGCCTCAGTACATTAGAGTGCTAACCATCACATGGGTCAAATGGCAGGTATTAAAAACAATGTTTGAGGGAGAAAGTTGTATACAAAATAAATCTCTATGGAATTCATCCTACATGTTCAAAATAAGATATTATTTATGATTCTATGGAGAGAGAGAAAGTAGAAAATATCTTCTGAAAGGTAAATAATGAATCCAAGAGAGTAGTTTGCTCTGGGATAAGAAGACAAAGGGAAATGTGGAGAAATTCTTGTCCATGATGTTCTTAAATTTCTTTCATTTTTAATATTTAATACTGAAAGGTTTGACATGCTTTACTTTGTTTGATTTATCTTTGAAAGCTGAAAATAAAATAAGACAGCCAAATACCTATAAATACAACAGTAAACATTGTTTTACAAAAATTCACTTGAGGGTGAAGGAATTTTTTTCAGAATGACATGTCATCTAGAGCTACATTTAACTGAGGAATCAAGTGGCTGTTCAGGGATCCTGGTAAATGATAAAACAGAAGTTGGGTCCTGCGGCTCCAATGTCTGCTCACTGATGTAATTTCTGCCTACAAGGATGCTCTCTCCAACTGTGTTTTCTGAAAATACTCTTTCCATATCACATACAAATCCCTCTTCAACATTTTTGACCAGGACGTTTTAGACATTTCTAAGCTGCTGCTGTCACCATATCAACAAGAATGACTTCTTTGTCCACAGCCAGTCATCTACACAGCACAGAAACACTGAGGACAGCTGGCAGACTCATTTTTCTTTCGAGATCACTGACTCTCCCCACCTAAAATAAGAAATAAGTCCTTAAAAAAAAAAAAAAAACAAGAGCAGATTGTTGTGTCGTTTAAATGCAAAACTAAATAAATAATGTTTTTGCTACTGCAGAACAAAAATGTAATTCTTTTCTCCTCTACATGTCTTGTCCTTGAAAAATAATTCACATTGTTCCACATTAACTTTAAATGTGCTAATGAAATGTTATGGAATTCTGAAAGACCTAAGACATGGAGGAATGCAAAGACGCCTTCTTAGGCAGAGGTCCTGGACCCAGGCAGGATTCTGTGGGTGGGGGGGAAGCTTTTCTCTTCACTCATGAGGCATCTCTCTTCTGTTTTGTCTTGACAGGGTGACTCTGGGCTGCCAGGATTTCCAGGATCTGTTGGCCCTAAAGGACAGAAAGGAGAACCCGTAAGTATTTTATCTTTGAGGGCAAAAGAAGGAAGAAAAAATTAGATGAAGAATTAAAAGTATATTCCCAGCTCCAATTCCATGGCCCTTTAATTCTAACACTATGAACAGCGTTTTAGATCAGATTCTTAAGCAAGTACACACCATGCCAGGCACCAAACCTTCTATATATTAACTCCCTTAACTCATAAAAAAAAGCCCCTTGAGGTAGCCCATTCTATACATAGGTTAGTCTGGTTCCAGAACCCAAGCTTTCAAAACATTAAGTTGCCTAGATAGGACCAAACACCACATCTAAAATGAGAAACACAATCAATATACCAAGACTGGTACAAATTTATCTGAAAAATTGAAAATGCTTCTCTCTCTGCTCAAACAATTGCTCTCAGTACTCCTCTGAAATTATTTTTCTTTCTGGGTTTGCATGTGTGTGTGTGTGTGTGTGTGTGTGTGTGTGTGAGAGAGAGAGAGAGAGAGAGAGAGAGAGAGAGAGAGAGAGAGGGAGGGAGGGAGGGAGGGAGATCAAAGTGACTTCATAAGCCACCTTCCAATATTGCTGTGGCTGGTTTCTTTGAAATCTTTTCATTGGGTAGGGAAAAAAGAAGAGAAAAGGAAAACCCGATCACATCATTTATATTCAAATAGAACCTCTGAAGAAAATGCAAAAGTCTAGTTATGTTCCTGAACCTGGCAAGCCTGGCTAATCAGCAACATTCAGGAATCACGTGTCTCTCATCCACCCTGGGATGTCAAGCATGCATTGCTGTTGCCCTGCTTTGACACGAGTTCTGTGAAAACAAACACATCGTCATTCTTGTAAAAAGGCCAGATTGGCATATGGCTTTTGTTTT